TCTTAGTCAGTGATACCAGCTTGTGTCCTCTTTGGCTGTGTGTGTGTGTGTGTGTGTGTGGTGTGTGTGTGTCCTGTAGATGGGAAGGCATAAGGTCCCTGTTTCCCTGTCTTTTTGGTGTTTGGGATAGAGGATGTGAAGGAAGAATAGATGAACCCAGAACTGGCGTGGATGGGGGCAACCGATGTTCTAATGTATAGTAAGGCCTGTCTTGTCACCTGTGCCACTTGTGTCATCTGTTTAGACTGAGAGTGAAATTAAATGAAGCATAATGGAAGCGCTTTACCAACTTTCAAGAGTAATGAACACTTTTCACTTTTTTGAGTGCATGACTTGGAGACTGCTCCCTGCTGTACCCACCTGCTTCAGCAGCCACTGGCTGAGTTATGTGCTCATCCAGAGCCAGTTTGTTCCCAATCCCATTTGGACAGTTAGAGCTGGCATTGTAGCTAAGTAACATATTTACATCTCATATACACTAAAATATTATTGCAAATGAAGTGATTTTTCTTTTCATCTTTCTTTAAACACTAGTTAAAAATCATGGAATGAGAGTAAGGCTTAATCACTAAAGCACAGTGCTGTCCAGATTACATGAGCAGTAAGATTGGGGGGAAGCAGAAGATTCTAAAGTTTTGTGCTGTGATTACTTTGCAAGTGTCCTTTTTTTTTAACCTCATTTTACAGAATCAGGATTTGGAAATCGTAAACAGTGCTTTAGGCTTTGGCTTATGTAAGAAAGATGATATAGACCAGTGGACCCTTATTTAAAGGGGCTTGCTCTATGCTAAAGAACAATTGAATGAACACAAACTTGTACACCGTATGTAAAAAATAGTTCTTAGGTGTATCATTTTTTATGATATCTTTGCTCTGTTTTGATTAGCCTGGTTTCCACCAGATCACAATGGAACTGAAGCTTCCTCCTCTTGAGATTCAGTTTAAAGTGGGTTTGGTCTCAGTTGAGAGGATTTAGGGAACTTTATTTTGTATATGTTATAAATTTAATAAACCAACATTAGTGGGCTTTTAAAACTGGAGTTTTAAAACAACGTAAGCTTGGGAGATGGAAGCAGGAGGATTGAGAGTTTGAGACCGTCGTAGGTTAGACCATCTCAAAAATCAGTCAAATAACAGCAAAAACAATTTAAGGTAGCTCAGAGTCCATTTTAGGAAATTTGTTGGTTTCTTATCAACTTGCAGCATATTGAGAGAAACCTAATTTCCCCATTTTATAAATTGGATCTATCTTCCACATATGAGAGAAAACATGTGGCCTTTGTGCTCTGAACCTGGCTTGTTTTTCTTAGCACGATGTCCCCATATGTCATATAAATACATATATATGCCACATTTTCTTGATCCATTCAGTTGCAGGGCATCTGGATTGCTGTGTACATTTTTAATTATTGCTACAAATAATAAAGCTGAAGTCTTCAAAGGTGAAGGGTGGGGGAGTGAGGGGACAGAGCCACGGCAGGTGGGTGTCGCTTCCTTTCCAGCACTTTACTTGTTCTCTGTCCACCTAGTCCCGGAGCTGGAGCTCTGCTTAGCACGGGGGTGGTCCTGTGGTTGATTTCTTTGGTGATGGTGCTGACTTGTGGACTCCCTTTGAGCAGGACCAACCTGGAGGCCTTACAGAAGAAGCTGGAGGAGCTGGAGCTTGATGAGCAGCAGCGGAAGCGCCTTGAGGCCTTTTTGACTCAGAAGCAGAAGGTGGGAGAGCTGAAGGATGACGACTTTGAGAAGATCAGTGAACTGGGCGCTGGCAATGGCGGCGTAGTATTCAAAGTCTCCCATAAGCCTTCTGGCCTAGTCATGGCCAGAAAGGTGAGTTTGCCTGGATAAACAGGTAATGGGATTATCTCCCAGGTGACCTGGAGGCGTGGGGACAAGGGTGGAAGGAATAGAACTTTTCTCTCCCTTTTTGTGCTGTTTTAATTGTGAACTTATTATCTGTCAGACCCTGGGTAGACATGCTAATGATTGCGTTAGTGTGTTAATTCTCATCCTGGTGCCTGACCCCATATTTGTACTTCTGCAGTTCATCCCATTTTTTCCAACAGTGGCCATATTCAGAGTCCACCTCTTGTCTAGCTTTCACCAGGTGCTCCAACCATCACTAGTAATCACTGCTTCCATGTCCTCTGACACTTATTGTCTGTAGTATTTTTAAAGTGCTCAAGCTTATTTAGGTGAGCATTTAATGTGCCTGTCTCCCTAGTTTGAACAAGGGACAGTGTCGGGGATATAAGGTGGCACCTGAGACTTTGACTAAATCTCATCCCCATCAGTCTCTTGAGCTCAAGGAGGAGTCTTGCGTGCAGCCTAGGTCAGCACACCTCAGTGCCTCATGCCCTTTTACCCACATCTGAGTGTGAACCAAGTCCTCAAGGCCAGTTTCCCCTCATAGCTCAGCTCTGCAGGTCATTCTGGAGTTAGAGGTGAGTGCCCTTGTCCCCAGTCTTGGCGTCTGGGAACAGAAGCACAGCTGGTCTCCTGGTTACAGTTGTCTGGTGTTCACCCATTTGAACATTGACTGAATATTTTTGCTTGAGCAGAAACTTGTTTTTAAAAATTGCCTTTCCTCCCTCTGCTTTTAGGAACTTGAAACGTTTAAGAAAGCTCCTTCCTTTCTCTCCTTTCTCCCTTCTGTAAAACCTATTTTTTTTTCTGTTCCTTTCCCCAGCTCATTCACCTGGAGATAAAACCTGCAATCCGGAACCAGATCATCAGAGAGCTGCAAGTTCTGCATGAGTGCAACTCCCCGTACATCGTGGGCTTCTATGGTGCATTCTACAGCGACGGCGAGATCAGCATCTGCATGGAACACATGGTATGGAGCCACCTGTAGGCCTCTGGATCGAGCTGGGAGTTGGATGGCTCTGTTGTAATTGTTGGTGTGGAAGGTAACCAGCTGTCTGTATCCGTATACTATCTTGGGCAGCTGAGAGACCTCACCCTAGAACTTGGCATAGTCACACAATGACAGGCTTTCATTCTAGGTTCCTGTTTCTCTTCAAAGAGGTAATAATCAAGAATCCCTGGGGATTGTCCCTAGATCATATCACCCAGTTTTCTCCTACCCAGATGACCCTAAGGTTTTGATGTTAAAGTCTGGTTAATACAGATTCAGTCCATTTATTGTATACAATGATGTGTGCTTGGTACAAGATTCTATGGTTATAAAGATGAGTGAAACATTCCCTGACTTTAGAGAGTTTATGCTCTGCTTTTAGGGCAGCTTGAGGAGTTTGGGTAAGGAGAGAAATAACCCCCTCCCCTATCCACTGGTGCACATTAGTGGTGGGTGAGGGCAAGTGAGAGGACAAATGGGCTAATGACATATATGTTAGCGGCTAGTCTTGTTACCATTAGCTGCCTGCAGGCCCTTCCTTCTTTTGCCAGTGACTAACGGTACTAACAATAACAATGTTAATGCTAATAATGATAAACTGATATTTACTGGGTGTATATTATATCAAGCATTATCCTAAGCAAATCAGTATTTTATTGCATTTTCACAGAAACCTTTTTGTTAGGCAGGTGCTCTACCACTACAGTCATGCCTCTAGCCCTCCCAGCCACCTTTTTGAGTGGGTTCATTATTCCACTGAATGAGGAACATGAAGCATAGAGAAATGGAATCACCTCTCCCAGGCCACACAGCTAGTGAGTGCTACTAGTAGAATTTAGACTGAGGCAGCCTGACACCAGAGCTGAATCCTCTAGATGGTGATAACGGATTTGGGGCCATTGCTTTCCTTGGTGCCTAGAACTTTAGAGAGACACTAGCTTCATTGTTGCAATTGTTTTTTTTTTTTTTTTTTTTTTTGTTCCCACTATGCAACGTGGCATAGGGGCCTTCGGAATCTGACAGATATTCTATCTCTTTTTTTCCATGAAAATCCAAGTAAGGATTTGGTCATGTTTGCCACTGAGTCTTGAATACTTGGAACATTCCTGGCACACTGCAGGTGCTCAATAATTACTTGTTTACTGATTGTTATCTTCTTGTTGTGACCTTGTGCAGATTTGTTGATATTTCTGATTCTGTTTCCTCATCTGTGAAATGGCTATTATCATACCTGCTTCATGTTGGTGAGGATCAGTTAGTATAACAGTAAGTCTTTCAGCACACTGTCTGACTCAGAGTGTATATTCTGCAAATGTTAGGACTGACGGTTCAGAGACCAGGGCTGTTGTATGTCTGCATACTCGATGGCTGTTGTACTTTCAGTCTGGCATGGTGTCCCTCAGCTCCTGCCCCATTTGCTTCCTGATCTGCAGAATGAGAGCCCTGTGCCTGATTGAATGAGCTCCAGGAGAATCCTCCTGGGAGGTCTCTCTCTTGCTGGTAACCCCATTATTTGAATGATCAAGAAGGGCCACAGACACTACATCAGGTGTCTGCCAGCATCAGTGGATGCCATATGGAACATAGGTCCTGGAAATGTCTTTTGCATGTCTGAGCATTATTGAGAAAGCTCCTTTCTCTTTTCTCTTTTTTCTTCAACTGCAGTGAAGCAGTGTCTGTAGGAAGCATGGAACATTTCTGGCTTGGTCCTTGCTCCTGGCCTGGGGTGCTGATTGTTTACATTCTGAGTCTTGGCTTTTCCTCAGGGGACTCTTTCTTTCCTTTGAGTTTCTTGTGTTCCTTGTGTTGGTGGTGATTGGCTTTTCAGCCTTAGCCTAAGAATTTTGGATGAAGAGTTAAAAATGGCAGTGGAGGTCCTGGAAGACTAGGGGAAGAAGGTAGGGGCGATAGTGAGAAACCAGAGACAGGAAAGGCCAGAATAGCCTTCTTTCCTTGTGGGTCTTGCTAAAATAATAGAAGGTGGGTGGTGGCATGACTACATAGAATAGCAATTGGCTTTCAAAGCTTCCAGCACTTCCCAAGTCCTTTCCATATTATGTAAGTTATTAATCAATCAACCCCATCTCGTTGATCCCCGAGCTGGTAGGTAGAGAGAGTAAAGCCCTGAGAGATTTTATAATTAGTCTAAGTCACACAACCAATGAGCATCAGAATCTAACTAGGTCTGTTTTCTTTAAACTTCATACTCTCACCATTACCCTGTGCAAGTGGTGTATTCAGGACTTTGTTTCTCTGTAGAGAACTGACTGGTTGAGATGTTCTGTAAGGGCCCTTCGCTGTGTCCGCATCCTGTGTTTCTGTGGGTTTTTGGCACTTGTAGCCAGTCAGGGTTTACATTAGCTAATCAACACAGGTTCAGTTCATACTTATTTTTCCTCCCTGTTATGTGCAAGGTGCCATGTGAGCTGCCAAGAGGACAGAGACTCTGAATGCAGCGTCTACCTCCCCAGAGCTGTTCACAGGCTGGATGGCTGTGCTCTAGAACCTTCTAAATCAGGATGCCAGTTTAGATATTGAGCTGCTGAGCACCAGGCATGTGTCATTTCATGCCTTCTCTCCTGAACTTTCAGGAATTCCTTCCTGAGGTACCTACAAGCTCTGTACCACCCAACTGTTCCCTTTAGTAGGGGAGCCAAGAAGCCATTTGTGGAGTAAGTGTGGCTGAACTCCATCTGAGGTGCTTGCTTCAGAGGTTAGGGTTAGGGCCTGAACATTGATAGGGACCTCTTCCTTCATTCATGCCCTGTTGGGACTTCTCTTACTAGCTTGTATGTCCTCCTGCAGGGTGGACAGGATGTTCCTTTCATTTGTCTTACATTGATCTTTTGAGATGATTCTGGAATCTAATTTACTCTGGATTCATAGATACCGGGTGCCCTTGCTGTGTTCTTCTTGCATCTTCTCCACCAGGAGATGACAGTGGACATGACAAATGTTGGTTTTCTATTCTCTTGGCCTATTTCCATTAACTGCAGGTCAGTTTTTTCTCCCCATGGATTTGGCTCTTTGGGAAGAGCAAGATGTTCCCACTCAAATCTCCAAAGTAAAATATATTTCTGGAGCTCTGGGGAGCCTCAACCTGGAAAAGTGACTGTCAGAGGGCCAAGCACAGTGAATGTCTGGAACTTATTTAGGTGATATGTGTTGAATGACTGAATGAAGGTAGCTCTGATGGGGAAAGGCCTAGTCAGGCCTGAGGCCTGGCAGGAGAGATAGGTCTTGGAACCAGCAATAGGCTTCTCTGTCTCTGGATGTACATAGGTTCACAGGCAGCTGGAACAATCTTGTCTTTTTCTTTTTGGTGTTGCACATGCTAGGTAAGTGCTCTACCACTTGGGACATGGCTATGTAGAAAGCAGTTGTGGCCTGAGGTCCATGCAGCCATGAATGCCAGAATGGATTTCTGCTCCAGCCTTGGTTCCTAATCCCATCCTTAGTTCCTCAGCAGGCCTTCCTGCACCAAATGTCTTTGCCTGGAAAACTGTGTCTGCTGGCTTCCACTTCTCGTGAGCTTTCTACTTAGCCTTCCCTTCAGCATTTCCAGGGTGTCAGTATGTAAGAGCCCCTCCCTCAATAGTCAGTTCCAACTTCTCTGTAACTGTTTTTTGTATGATGTTCTATGTCATTTTCAGCAGTTTATTATGAAAAATTTCAAGCATACAGAAAGTTGAAGGGAAAACAAACAAACAAAAAAATCCAGAAGGAATGGGGGTGTGGCTCAAGCAAGAGTGCCTGCCTAGCAAGTGCTCTACTAAGTTCAAACCCCTGTACACTCAAAAATAAAACAAAACCCAAAAAACAGAAAGTTGAAGGAATTTTCCACTGTACAGTGGAAACCACCACCTGGATTTTGCAACCGACATTTTACTGTATTTGCTTCCCCACATATTGTCCATTTATTCATTGTCAAGTCATTTTGGGGGTATGCATTTTAAAATCAATTGGTGTCATCAGCATTCGCTATCCATCTTCTAAAGCACTCAGTCAGGGCTCACCTTTCCTAGAAATAAGTTGTATTTGCATTGCCCAGTCTGAATTTTGAGACCCAAGGGGAACAGGACCTAAGGAGAATAAGAGTGCTCCTGGCTTTAGGGAAATAGATTCCTGGTAGCTGAGCAAACAGGGACTGGGTACTCAGAGTTGATGGTTCTCTTGCAGGAGTAAAAGCTTTTGAGCTATTATTTTCATAAAGCATTTGTCTGCTCTATAGAAAACCTTCACAAAAGTACCATTGACTTAGTTAATAATTGGCTTCTAAAAATAAGCAGAGTTTCAGCAGCTCTAGTCAGTGAAGGCACGCTCTAGGCAGCAGTAAAGCAGAATTGGAAGGCTACAGAGTTAGTTGCAGGCAGCACTGGGTAATCCTGGCTAGTTTGGCCCTCTGACATCTTGCTAAATCCATGTTCTCCTTTTAACTCTGCTCAGAGCTCAGGAGGTTAAAGGGAAGAGAGCCAATATTTCTTCCTTTATAATAGATTAAAAAAATTTTTTTTGATTGAACTCAGGGCCTCATGCATGGAAACCGTGGCTCTACAACTGAGCTACACCTTCAGCCATAGAAATATTTACTTTACCAACCCTCATGGGAGGTCACACCCATTCAGTGTAGCTGGGCTGCTCTCTGCCTGAGGCTGTGGCTGGAGTCAGTTGGGGAGGTAGTGCTGTTATTGTCTGAATGGAGGAAGGAACCTGAGAAGCACAGGGGTAGCATTTGGCCTTTGTCTGAGGTCAGCTTTGACAGAGAGGCTTTGTTATCTTGTTTGAAATGTGTAGTCCTTCTTTATGATTAGGCAAAGCCATTCAAACAAAGGAACTGAAACCATGATCCACTTGAAGGCAAAACGGAAATACTTGGGAACTTCCTGCTCTTGAGTCCCCCTTCCCTTTGTAAAGGAAATTGAGAGATGCGGTGGCATTTTTAGGACCTGCTAACTTGGGGAGGCCAGTGTTTTACCTGGGCTGTGGTATTGTCCTCATGTGGCCAGAAGGGACCTGTAACACTGAAGGTATCCAGGATCATAGGACTGACTTGATTGCTTGAGCTCAGCATGGGTCACAGCCTGGATAAGGGTTCTTCCAAGAGCTCTTGGAAAATAAGTGCGTTTAAGGACAGTTCTCTTTGGCTCTAGATTCATAGTTCCACTCTTGTTTTTTTGGAGGTTATCTATGGCACATTTGAAATTTTAAGCCTAAGTTCTTACAATCCTTTACGATTCTCCTTCGCTGACTCACCTACCATTAGGGAGTTATTATGATTAAAAGTCACTCATATCAAGGACATTCGGGTATTGGGATTACAGGTGTGCACCACCACACCTGGCTAAGTGCACGCACTCTTAAATTTTTATAGAGATGGGATTATTCTCTTTTTTGCTTATCATATTCTGTGTTACTCCCTGACCTCACAGTGAATGGCTGCAATTATAGAGGCTGGGTGATTTTGGAGACAGGATATCTTTGGAAATATCCCTCTGGGTTTTGCCCACCTCCAAGGCTCAGCTTCTAGGTTCTTCTGTTTCCAGCCTTTGCCTTAGCTGCTTTGTATGGAAATCCCACCCTCCTATGTCTCCTTAAGCAGAGAGTTTTTTGGGTTTTTTTGTTTTTTTTTTGAGGCAGAGTCTCACTGCCCATGCTGGCCTCAAACTCTGGATTCTCCTGCCTCAGCCTCCTACAGAGAGTGCATTTTATCTTTCCTCTCTCCCTCTTTGTTTCCCTTCCCCCTCCCCCTTTTCCTTTGCCCATCTCTACTCTGTCTGTTCTCTAGGTCTCTTGGCACTCAGTCTCTCTCTCTCTCTCTCTTTCTCGGTGGGTTCCTTCACTTCCCCCTCCATGAAGCCTTGGATTCTAGGCAGGACTTTGGCCACAGCTGGCTATTTCCAGTTCCATTTGTCACCACATCTCCTGTGGGCCCTCAGTGAAATGAACATGTTATCCCAGGAGTACTGGGCAATTTAATGCTTTTCTGCTTTCAATCTTAGGAAACACCCTGTTCTTTTCTTTCTGTGCTCCTAAGATTTCAGCTCAAATGGTATCTTCTGAGTTTAGTCAGAATTACCTGCCTGTCTCTTCTTCTCTTATGCAGTTCTGGGTTTATTACATTAGTTAATAAATTCTTTGAGGGCAGAGGCTAACTTTTTCCTTATTCCTGTCCCTGTGGAACTTAATGTAGTCCACAGCACTCTGGAATGAATGATTGCCTTTTAAGACATGTTTCTTTAGATTTGTTGATGATGATTTGTTAGGATAATGCCAGATGCAAGTTGACTTAAAAAAAAAAAAGCTAACATTTATTGAGTACTTATGTGCTCAACCTTGTTCTAAGTGCTTTTAGCTTGCTTAATCGCTATCTGAACCACATGGTTATTATTATAGCCTTCTAATTATTCTCATCCTCATTTTCTTAGTTGAGTAACTTGTTCAAGGTCTCTGGACAGTAAGCAACTATCCAAACTATTTGGGATTCACAGTTCAACAGGCTGCCTGCAGAGCCTACTCCTTACCACCACCCTGTGCTGTTGGCCAGCGCAGTCTGGATGTTTTCATGACCACATGTTAGTAATTTGTTTAAGGAAGTGCACAGGATTTGATTTGCTTGTCATATGATTCCTCCCACAATGTTTTTTATTTATGTCATATTTGATGTCTACAGCAAAAACAAAGGGTGCCATCCTTAACCTTCTAGGAAGATTTGCCACATGTGAGGTTTCCCTTCTTCCTGAAGTGTGACAGTTAAAATAAGACAGTTGGAAACACTATCACTAAATGGTCTAATACTGTTCTTAGGATGGGGGTTCCTTGGATCAAGTCCTGAAGAAAGCTGGAAGAATTCCTGAACAAATTTTAGGAAAAGTTAGCATTGCTGTGAGTATGTTCTGAAAATTTTCTTCTAAGTTCCTTCACTGGTACATTAAGGAGTGGGTAGAAAACAGGTGAGGGAGGCTGGGAGCAGGTCAGTGAGGGAGTTTACTTAACAAACCTTTTTCTCACTAGAACTTTCCCTATCTGGAATCTGTTTATCTTTTTTTTTTTTTTTTTTTTTTGGTGGCTGAAGATTGAGCTCAGGGCCTTGCGCTTGCTAAGCAAGTGCTGTACCGCATGAGCCACTTTGCCAGCTGTTAGCATTTTAGCATTTTGTTTATTTTTGCAATACTGGGGGTTGAACTCAGGGCCCACATCTTGAGCCACTCCACCAGCCCTTTATTGTGGTGGGTTTTTTTCAGAGAGGGTCTCCAGAACTAATTGCCTGGGCTGGCTTTGAACCATGATCTTCCTGGTATCTGTCTCCTGAGTAGCTAGGATTATAGGCATGAGCCACTGGTGCATGACCCCTATCTGGAGTCTAGCTAGAATATTATCTCTTTTTATTTCTCATTACAATGAGAAATACGACTTTCTTTATATTAAAAACTGTCTGGAAAATAGGACCAGATATCTGTGATACCTTTTGTAGTATCAGAAAAATTAATTTTTAAATTGCAGATTTAGAAAAAAATTCACAATGTCTTTTCAAGTTATTTAAACTTGTGATAATTTGTTTCACTTAATACTTTATATAACACTTAAAAACCTGCTTGATAAGGCAGGTTTCAAAGTGAAACAAAACAATGAATAAAAAGGACTGGGGATGTAGCAGTGGGAGAGAACTTCCTCACATGTTCCGTCTAGTAATAACAAAGGGAGGAGGGCAAATTTGTTGATGTTGGAGGAGAGATAGAGTATTTGTCTGCACACACAATTTTCTGCTTGCCATGTTTTTACATTCCCCTTCTTCCAGGTGATAAAAGGTCTGACGTACCTCAGAGAGAAGCACAAGATTATGCACAGAGGTAAGAAATTACTTACTAGTTGTGTTTTGAATTTAACTTGAAATCCAAAGGCATCTTATGTTTTTGTGTGTGTTTTGGGGGTGAAAGATTTTTAATACAAGTCTTTTTAGTTTGATGGCTGAGGCAGCAAGCCCCACCCTCCCTGTGGTCTTGGTTCATTTGTTTTTCTCTACCATGTTCCTGCTATGGACCGTGCCTTGTGTTTTTCCATGGAGAACCCTAATTTGATTTCCTTTCCAAAGAGATACTCATTTCTGGAATAATGGGCTCTCCTTTCCCTGTTGTCTAGAGCAGCTCCCACTTCCTAGGGAGTGGCTTTCTTCCTGGCTTCATCAATCCTTGCTTTCCTGTGGAGTCAGAGTCTTTACACAGAAGCTTTCTGGACCAATGTATTTGTGGAGCATTCACCACTTGCCCAGCCAAGAAGGGGAGGTTCCTAGGATTCCTGCCTACTGAGCTGTTCCTGTATGGGCTGGCCTCAGACCTCGGTTATCTGTGGGTCTCCAGAGCCCTGGAGGGATTAGCCATGAGGACAGCTTGATTCCTGACCAAGACTTTGAGTGAGTGATTCCTGGAAACCTGAGTTAGGCTTAGAATGAGAGAGTCTCTCTGTCGCTGTCTTTAGGCTTCCTTGCTTCCAGCAACTTTTACTGCTGGTCTAATCATAGTTTTTCCTGATGAAATTTAAACTCCAATTTTTTTTCATTCTCTCCTTGATGAAAAATGGGGAATTGCAAAGAAGATTTTTCCTCTGCCTCAAACTTTCATTTATTCTTATTTGTTGATATTTATTTGCTGTAAGAGGGTTTAATGGTTACTTTAATTACTTTTGTTATGTAAAAGCCACTTCAGAATTTAGTAGTTTAAAACAACAGTAGTGTGTTATTTTCTGACATTCTAGGGGTTAGCAGGGTATCTTTTCCCATGTGCTTGCCCATCTTCCCATGGGCTGAGCTCTGGCTGCTTTTCACAATATTCTTAGGCTTCTCGCAGTCAGAGCTGGTGAGCGCTAATATTCAGATACCTCTTAAGCCTACTGTCGTCAGCTTTTGACATCCTGTTGACCTAAACAAGTTGCATGGTTCAACTAAGATTCAAAAAGTTGTGCTAAGACTTCATCTCTTCTTGAGAGGAGCTTCACAGTGTTGTGGCCAGTTTTTTGCTCTTTCACAACAATGAAAGCCTAGGGTCCAAATCTTGACCCAGCTATTTACTGTGTAACCTTGGTTGAATTACTTAACATCTCCAAAATTAAAGACAATGAAGAAAGCAGAGTCTACCTAAAAAGTCATGAAGGTTAATTAAGGGACTGCATACAGGAGTAGATGCAATGGTTCATGTCTGTAATCTCAGCTGCTGGTGGTTCATTTTTATAATCCCAACTACTCAGGAGTCCATAGGTAGAAGGACTGTGGTTGAAACTGGCTCTGGGCAAAAATGCAAGACCAAAACGTAACTAAAGCACAAAAGGCTGAGGCAGAGGTTCAAGGGGTAAGAGTACCTACCTAGAAAGCACGAGGCCCTAAGTTCAGACCTCAGTGCTGAAGAAAAAAAAAAAAAGATAATGCATATAAAGCACTTAAAGTAATGCTTGACACATAGTAAGATCTTAATAAATATTAAGTGCTGCTAACAGAATGATTAGTAGAGGCCTTTTAGTGATCACAGCAACAAAAACATCCTGACTTGATTTAGGCTTCTTAAAACTTATTTATTATAAGAGTCCTGGGAGCTCAGTGGATCCTTTGTGAAAATGGACCAGCAGACCTTGATGGGGCAGGAGCCAAGGCTGCTCTGCTGAGAGGCTGGGTCACTGAGGGAAAAAGCATTGTCACTGCCAGATGGCCCTTTTCAGGCTTACTGGGGGTGGGCTGTGGGCTCAGTCACTCCCAGAGTAGTCCAGACCCACTGCCTCTAAAGCATCCACTTCACAACAGTCACACAGGTGTCAGGGACACCACCCTGCTGCTGAGTGTTGCAAGCTGGTTGGTAACCTTTTCCCACGTCTACCATGCAAAGGTGACACTCAAGGTTTTACATTATTGGGCACTCTGTTCTAAGTAAAACGAATGCACAGAAAAAAACTCAGCACAAGTTGCTCTGGGGGCAGCTCTTTGCTTCTATAAAACATTCACTACAGGATCCTTCAAATGTAAGTTCTCAGAGAATTCAGAAGGGCAAACAAATCACATCAACTTGATTCAGATCTTTCTCTTTAGAAATATGTCAGTAATATAAAGCTAGGCATCCTTGCACTTACACTTGCTTTCTCTGTGAGAGGAAGTGGTGTTTGGAGGGAGACCAGATGTTTTCAGGTATTGTTTGGGTACTTTTTTCCACGAGATAGTAGCTGGGCGAGTGGGTCCTGGTCCTATAGCGAGTTGGTTGAAGAGTGGCTAGCTTTCTTGTATGTCTGTTGCATCCACACCAAATGGGAATCTAAAGATAATCAGCTTCTCCCCTCTTTCCTGAGAGGGGGACTATCTTAGGCAGAGTAAATCCAGCCAGTGTCCCAATGCTGAAGCTCTGTCCAGCCTCTCTGGGCTCGTCCATGCTGAACTGGTCCCCTGTTATGTGCAGAACATGGTATTCTGCTTCCCCTGGGTATCCAGCCTGCTGTATGTGATTTGTGAGCTGCTGACCAGGGGATGGCATGGGGTCCCTGACATTTCCAGGTGACATTCTGGAAATAGGCAGGCATATGTTTATTCTCCTCCATGTTATTCACCTTTCTCCTCAGTCTCTTTCCCTATCCATGACAAGTAATTCATATTTGTAAAATATTTATAGAATATCTGCCAAGTGCCATGTACTGGATGAATCACTACAGAGGCCATAAAGATGGTTTACAAATGAATTGTGTCTTCCAAGGAAAGACACGTATCTGTAAATGACTCTAGTATATGGTGGAACATAACCAATGCCATTTTTTATGCATGAATCATTACCTTGCCAACTTTCAGATAGAATCTGATGTGACACAATTTATTAGTCAGAATTCTTTGGTCATGTCAGAACTCAAGATTACTTAATCAAAAGAGGGAATGTGTTGGTTTTGAGTCACCAGGAAGTCTGAAGGCAGGATAAAGATAGGGTTGATATTACAGCCCTGGGACTCTGGTCATGCTGTGGTTTTTCTCTTTCTTATGTGGGCTTCTTTTGAGGCATATTTTGATGGCCTACAAGCTAAGAATGGCTTTCAAATCAAATTTTAATGTCTATAGATGAAATTTTGTCAGAATACAGCCATGCTTATTAGCTTAAATGTTGTCTCCAGCTGCTTTTGAGCTCTATTGGCAAATTTGAATAGTTGCTTATGAAAGGGATAACCAAATCTTAAAATGTTTACTTTCTAGTCCTTCAGGAAAAGCTTCCTGACCTGAGTTAAGGGAAAGAAGAATTCCCCGAGAGAACTAGAATTCAGGCACAAAACTCAGCTTCACATTTGTCACCTTTACATTCTGGGATGGCTGACATAGGAGAAAGGACTATTTTCCCTGACCCTAGACTCTGAAAAGGGTTAGTCTCATACAAAAATTTCTATGTAGTCTTTCTGATTCCTATAGCAGGTCAAAGGTCCAGTTCATCCAAAGCTGAACCAAGTATTTCAGCTAGGAGTTAACAGGTTGGAGGTGGAGAGGGAGCTAGGATGCAGCTCTGCCTGTTGTATGCACCTTAAAGCAGTGATGTACGCTGCCAGTCTGCCATTCTTAGCCCGCTCTAATTATTATCAAGATCTTATTTTGATCAGGACCCTGAAGTAGCATTATGTGATTTAGATTGACAAAGAGTTCATACACCTTAACCTGTAAATTATTCCTGCCTTGGAGTTGCTAGCTGATAGGGATCAATAAATGCTAAGGACAGTTTTAAATCACGCCTTAACTTGCTTCTCTCTTCTTTCTGTCAGTGTGTAACCTGCCTGATCTTTATGCCCAGGATTGCATTAGTAGCCTGGCATGCTGGGAAAGCCAGCCTAGGCTTTTAAGGGAACATGTAGCCGACTGGTAAGCTATGATGGCTTATGCCACAATAACTTTTACCTTGGACCATGCATGCCAGAAGAGGTAGACAGTTAATGGAAAAGTGGGGTTTTCAGGTCAGAGTTAGACTTAAGGCTTCCACAGACTCATTAGGAGAGGGTTTTCAGTTCCTGGTCCCTGCCAGTGTTGAGATTCTCCAAAGCACCCTCAATGAAAGGGGTCCTTGGCACTGGTAAGGATTTCAACCTCTAAATTCATGTCACTTCATTCAGACATGTCACTGACAGGCAAGATCTGTTTTATAAGCTGTTTGTAGGAGACTCACACTTAGTGAGTATCTGAGTGACTTCTGTAGCCTTTGCCAGGCACTGTCCTGCCTGCCAGGGCTTTATGAGGCTTTTATGAGGCTTTTTTGAGCACAAAGTTGAGGTGTCCTCTGCCTCCTTCAGCCACATGGCTTGAGGATGCACGCTTGGTTGTAAAGGTCTTGAGTGGAGGGGATAAAATAGTTGCTTGTTAGAGCTGCCAGGCGCATATCTCCCAGGTGCCTATTTGAACTCAGCTGCTCGTCAGAGGGAGGCCAAGACAAGCCTTCAGCTCCCAGGGCTCCCACAGCTAGCCCAGCTCTTGCAGTTAGACCTGTCAAGGAGGATGATGGGCTGGTGCTGAGGAAGGAGCATTGTGCTCTCTTCTAAACCAAAGCAGAGTATCTTCTCTCATGACCGGATTTCTAGGACTTCAGCCTGCCCCAGGCACATCGGTTCCCACAACCCTCTTACTGCCTGGAATGTGAGTGACTTCTTCCCCATCTCAGCTAATGGTTGGGCTGAGCCTTTGGGGTGCAGCTCCCTGTTTTCTGCATGAACACTGTTGCTGGGTTCTGACAAGAGCACTCACTCCATCAGGATCCTAGAGTTCAAATCCAGCCCCTATGATAAAAGCGAGAGCACACAGGGAGGGGTGAGGATAGGTAAGACACCTAAAAAATTAGCTAGCATTTGTTGCCCTTAACGCAGA